TACGAAGGCGGCAATGCAATTTCTGATTGAAGTCAAAAAGGGCAGATTGTAATCGGATGCAAAAGTACAGATGAAGCATCCGTCTATGCTGGGTATCGTAGAGACGGTATCGTGCGCCAAGAAGTAGGTCGAAATCATCCATACGATAAACTTCAGGAGCGTACGTTGAGGTCATTCTGTGAAATATTAGCGAAGAAATGGGGCCAAAAGGAAAGAGTATAGAACGACTCCGACAACCATATACGCATGCGTTTTTGCTCCAAACAAGTTTACATAGGGTTCTTGTAGCATCATCGTTGCAAGGCGGCTGACTACTTGGTATCTTGTTTCCTGTTCTTTTCATCATCTGGTGGACGTTGATACTAAAGTGATGGCAAATTCTCTATCATCGGAATGTGGGGGAAGTGGTGCTGCAGCTATGGTGACGGCGGTACTGAGGAAGGCGATGAAATCTCGAGATAAACAGTGTGACCTTTTGAGGTGATTACAATGAAGCGTTGATTTGAAAGCTGATTCATTTTGCGTGGTTATCGCTAGTTGGTGTGAGCACACGTTTAGGCGAGCAAAAGTCGATTACATAACGAAAGTCTTTGATGTTGCGAATCAATACTACATTTAACAGGATGTAGATCTGAATCACGAAACGTTACTTTTCCAAAACGGGTTTCGGACTCGTATCGACTTGCTGGATGTGTTGGTGACTACAAGTCATGACAGTGGTGCTATGCTGACATAAGCAAACACATGGAAAATGAATCTTAAGAGTTGTGAGGTTGAGCATTTGTCGCCGTTTGACCCTGTTCTGATTCAACACGAATGTGCTACATGTTGAATATGGGCTCAGTTCGGTGACCGTGCCTACAAGCGCACACAAAGCTCATCTCTGCACGCAGCATTGGTGGAGTGTCTGACGACGTTTCGGATCGTTTTTGTTCTGGCGAAAAGAAATCAGAAGTGACTACATTGGCGCCATGGTGAATGGACTCAGCAGGGTTTGTCGTACGTGAGGTTCATAGAAGAAAGTAGGCTTGACGGCGAATCCATCGAGCAAAGTAAGACCGTACTTTTACAGGATCATTTCTATAGTACCTTCTTTTCTACTTGACTTTCCTAGTAGACAACCTCAATAACTTTGATGATCGTAGTCGACTTCATTCATTGACTCGGGATGTTGGTGGTAGTGCTGTGCTCTCTCTTGAACTTGGCCTTCCCCATTGATGAACGTCCGCTGTCGCTATTCCAAGGCAGCGTGAGTGAGTGGAGTGATATGAGAAGTTGTGGAGCTCCTTATACTACGTTTGGTCTCTGCTTAATATTTCGTCCCACATTAATTGAACTCTGCTCGTAATTGAATCCCTATGCTGGATTCGATCCCCACACTCAATTCGATCCCCATACTCGATTCGATCTCTGTACTCGATTTGATCTCTGTACTTAATTTGACCCATACAATCAATTTGATCCATTCATATACTTTTGTTGACCCCTGTACATGCTCGGTTCCCATACGATAGCTGAGCACTAGCCTTATCCATGATGTACCGAACAGAACAGTGCGGCACTACATTAACATACCAATACGACACACGATGGCACGCCTCTGTTCCTTTTCGATCGAACGTTTCAAAACGACATCATATCCCTGTATACGGACCTTCTTTGCAGCAAGAAACAGTTCACGACGACACGATCATGTATATTCATACACAATTACAGGCGGAAGTTGATGTTCACAGAGCATAATCATCCCATACATACCTGTAATCTGATATCGGAGGAATAGCGAAAGTTGAGCTGCTACATCATTTTTCAGAGAAACAAACGACACGAAGGCGTAAGATTCCCGAGAATACGGAATGGTGATGAAAGAAGCAGAACAGCATTTCTTGTTCGTGTGTAACGCATATTTCGATTGACCTTGTACGAAGGCGGCAATGCAATTTCTGATTGAAGTCAAAAAGGGCAGGTTGTAATCGGATGCAAAAGTACAGATGAAGCATCCGTTTATGCTGGGTATCGTAGAGACGGTATCGTGCGCCAAGAAGTAGGTCAAAATCATCCATACGATAAACTTCAGGAGCGTACGTTGAGGTCATTCTGTGAAATATTAGCGAAGAAATGGGGCCAAAAGGAAAGAGTATAGAACGACTCCGACAACCATATACGCATGCGTTTTTGCTCCAAACAAGTTTACATAGGGTTCTTGTAGCATCATCGTTGCAAGGCGGCTGACTACTTGGTATCTTGTTTCCTGTTCTTTTCATCATCTGGTGGACGTTGATACTAAAGTGATGGCAAATTCTCTATCATCGGAATGTGGGGGAAGTGGTGCTGCAGCTATGGTGACGGCGGTACTGAGGAAGGCGATGAAATCTCGAGATAAACAGTGTGACCTTTTGAGGTGATTACAATGAAGCGTTGATTTGAAAGCTGATTCATTTTGCGTGGTTATCGCTAGTTGGTGTGAGCACACGTTTAGGCGAGCAAAAGTCGATTACATAACGAAAGTCTTTGATGTTGCGAATCAATACTACATTTAACAGGATGTAGATCTGAATCACGAAACGTTACTTTTCCAAAACGGGTTTCGGACTCGTATCGACTTGCTGGATGTGTTGGTGACTACAAGTCATGACAGTGGTGCTATGCTGGCATAAGCAAACACATGGAAAATGAATCTTAAGAGTTGTGAGGTTGAGCATTTGTCGCCGTTTGACCCTGTTCTGATTCAACACGAATGTGCTGATGTTGAATATGGGCTCAGTTCGGTTACCGTGCCTACAAGCGCACACAAAGCTCATCTCTGCACGCAGCATTGGTGGAGTGTCTGACGACGTTTCGGATCGTTTTTGTTCTGGCGAAAAGAAATCAGAAGTGACTACATTGGCGCCATGGTGAATGGACTCAGCAGGGTTTGTCGTACGTGAGGTTCATAGAAGAAAGTAGGCTTGACGGCGAATCCATCGAGCAAAGTAAGACCGTACTTACACAGGATCATTTCTATAGTACCTTCTTTTCTACTTGACTTTCCTAGTAGACAACCTCAATAACTTTGATGATCGTAGTCGACTTCATTCATTGACTCGGGATGTTGGTGGTAGTGCTGTGCTCTCTCTTGAACTTGGCCTTCCCCATTGATGAACGTCCGCTGTCGCTATTCCAAGGCAGCGTGAGTGAGTGGAGTGATATGAGAAGTTGTGGAGCTCCTTATGCTACGTTTGGTCTCTGCTTAATATTTCCTCCCACACTAACTGAACTCTGCTCGTAATTGAATCCCTGTACTGGATTCGATCCCCACACTCAATTCGATCCCCATACTCGATTCGATCTCTGTACTCGATTTGATCTCTGTACTTGATTTGACCCATACAATCAATTTGATCCATTCATATACTTTTGTTGACCCCTGTACATGCTCGGTTCCCATACGATAGCTGAGCACTAGCCTTATCCATGATGTACCGAACAGATCAGTGCGGCACTACATTAACATACCAATACGACACACGATGGCACGCCTCTGTTCCTTTTCGATCGAACGTTTCAAAACGACATCATATCCCTGTATACGGACCTTCTTTGCAGCAAGAAACAGTTCACGACGACACGATCATGTATATTCATACACAATTACAGGCGGAAGTTGATGTTCACAGAGCATAATCATCCCATACATACCTGTAATCTATATCGGAGGAATAGCGAAAGTTGAGCTGCTACATCATTTTTCAGAGAAACAAACGACACGAAGGCGTAAGATTCCCGAGAATACGGAATGGTGATGAAAGAAGCAGAACAGCATTTCTTGTTCGTGTGTAACGCATATTTCGATTGACCTTGTACGAAGGCGGCAATGCAATTCCTGGTTGAAGTCAAAAAGGGCAGGTTGTAATCGGATGCAAAAGTACAGATGAAGCATCCGTCTATGCTGGGTATCGTAGAGACGGTATCGTGCGCCAAGAAGTAGGTCAAAATCATCCATACGATAAACTTCAGGAGCGTACGTTGAGGTCATTCTGTGAAATATTAGCGAAGAAATGGGGCCAAATGGAAAGAGTATAGAACGACTCCGACAGCCATATACGCATGCGTTTTTGCTCCAAACAAGTTTACATAGGGTTCTTGTAGCATCATCGTTGCAAGGCGGCTGACTACTTGGTATCTTGTTTCCTGTTCTTTTCATCATCTGGTGGACGTTGATACTAAAGTGATGGCAAATTCTCTATCATCGGAATGTGGGGGAAGTGGTGCTGCAGCTATGGTGACGGCGGTACTGAGGAAGGCGATGAAATCTCGAGATAAACAGTGTGGCCTTTTGAGGTGATTACAATGAAGCGTTGATTTGAAAGCTGATTCATTTTGCGTGGTTATCGCTAGTTGGTGTGAGCACACGTTTAGGCGAGCAAAAGTCGATTACATAACGAAAGTCTTTGATGTTGCGAATCAATACTACATTTAACAGGATGTAGATCTGAATCACGAAACGTTACTTTTCCAAAACGGGTTTCGGACTCGTATCGACTTGCTGGATGTGTTGGTGACTACAAGTCATGACAGTGGTGCTATGCTGGCATAAGCAAACACATGGAAAATGAATCTTAAGAGTTGTGAGGTTGAGCATTTGTCGCCGTTTGACCCTGTTCTGATTCAACACGAATGTGCTACATGTTGAATATGGGCTCAGTTCGGTTACCGTGCCTACAAGCGCACACAAAGCTCATCTCTGCACGCAGCATTGGTGGAGTGTCTGACGACGTTTCGGATCGTTTTTGTTCTGGCGAAAAGAAATCAGAAGTGACTACATTGGCGCCATGGTGAATGGACTCAGCAGGGTTTGTCGTACGTGAGGTTCATAGAAGAAAGTAGGCTTGACGGCGAATCCATCGAGCAAAGTAAGACCGTACTTTTACAGGATCATTTCTATAGTACCTTCTTTTCTACTTGACTTTCCTAGTAGACAACCTCCTTAACTTTTCGTCCGGCTCGACGCCAACGCGTGGATGCGCCTCTGGTTGCCCGACTGGGAACTCCGGGAGCGCTCGCCGTCGACCGAAAGCGAGGCCTCCACGGCCAGCTACTCAAGCCTCGCCAGCGACGCGTCCTTCTATGACGCGTCGTCGGGAGATGAGGCCGGGCTGGCCGAAACGGGTGGCCACGACACCGCCACGCGCCGGTCGGCTCCTCCGCTCGCGTTCGCGTCGCCCCCCGCGCGCCACTTCTCTCCACTGCCGTCTTCGTCCCCGCTCTTCTCCTCGGCTCAGGATGCGATTGTTTGGATACCCGGCAGGGCGGGCGTTACGCTGCCTGACCGGGTATCACCAGAAGCCGCTCAAGGACGTCAGGGCGCCTGGCTTTCGCCACCGGCCGCACGGGCCACGCCGGCGCCTATCCGGCTTGTAGACGACGTCCAAGACCTTCGTCCGTTTGCTGTGCCACCCGGCAGGGCGTGCCGCATGCTGCCTGTCGAGGTGGCGCCTGGACTCGTGCCCGACTCTCAGAGCGTTGGCTCCCCGGGCGCTCAGACGCCTTGCCCAGGTCCGAGTGACTTCCACACGCCGCGTCAAGACCCCGGACTGTCTTCTCCGTGCGCCGATGGCCCCCCGATCGAAGATGCGAATGATTTGGTACCCGGCAGGGCGGGCGGCATGCTGCCCGACCGGGTACCACCAGAAGACAATGAAGACCACAACGCCGACTCTCAGAGCGACCACTCCCTGGGTGCTGACAGGCTACACCCGGGTCCAGCCGACACTGCACCGACCTCCGCTGCCCTCCCGCCTGCCCCACCAGCCCCTGCCCCACCAGCCCCTGCCAAGGCTCCCGACGAAGACTTGCTTGCTTCCCAACCCGGCAGGGCGGCAGGCATGCTTTCCGCGGGGTACGCGCTTGTAGCCGCTACGGCTCGCGCCCTGTGCGTCACGCACGACACCAGCGACCCTGCGGACAGCAGCAGCAGCAGCGATGGGGAGGGCTCGAGTAACGAGGCAATTGCTTTCACTGTTGACGAAGACTGTCCAAGTGATGACGACCGGCTTTGTCTGGCGGCTACGGAGCTGCCCGGCCAAGCTGGATACACTGCAGTGGCCGCGGCTACACCCATGCCAGCGTCCACTGCAGCATCTGTCTCTGTCCCACTATTACAGTCTCTGTGACAACCGACTCGGCGGTCCGGCATGCATGCAGCCCGACCGAGTCGGGTTTGATGAACCCACGTCCCTTGTGGACACTGCCCTGTCCAGTGCCGCTGTCCTGGACATGGTCAAAGACGACTGCCAGCGCGCCGTCACCCACGACGTACCGGGTCCACTCCACGAACATGTCCAGCCCGAAACAGGGCGACCGGACCCGGTACTATCAGTGTACGCCCATAACGCGCCCGCATTCCCTTGCACGCTGTGTGGGCACACTGCATGTGACATGAGCGCGCTGTCGAGTCACAGACGGACCTCCCACCGTGGCACCTGCTTCGTGGACCACTTCCACAGCGGGTGCCCGTGTGGCATCGGGCACAGGACTCGTGCAGCTGCTACGAAGCATGCTATGGAGTGTCGGGACAGCCCGTCCTACATCCCTTCGGCTGCACGTGCTCCCCCGGGTCCGTCTCCGGTCCACTTTCGTTCTCGTTCTCGTTCCGTGTGGTCTGTTCCGGAGGACGAGGTGACCCCGAACATACCGGGTCCCTCGTCCTGGCTCCTTCCGTGGGTTAAGCAGTTGCATCAAGCAGCACTGTGCCCACAGATGCGACCACATCCCAGAGCACCGTGCCTGCTCCCGTGGACCAAGCCGGGCACCTGCATGTCCCCCCCCGTGCGGTGCCCTTCGCCACCGCAGCCGCATGTTCGGGTGGCGGGGAAGCGGCGCCGTTTAAACGAAGCTGCTGACCCGCCTGCTTCTCCTGACTGGGACATGGACCAAGGAACCTCTGTGCTTGGAACCCCTGCTTGGCCCCCAGTTGAGGCAAACGAGGACCTGACTTTGGATCATGTGCTGGATGATGACATTTCCGAATTTCTTGTGGATATTTGTGGTTCTACTCTGGATGCAGCTGACCCTTCGCTCACGGAGGATGCTGCTGTCTCCGGTCGACTCGGGACGGGTGAGGCACCAACATCAGCCCCGGCAGCGCCCCGACCTCTGACTTCTGTCGCGTCCAGCTCCCGTGCTACGCGGTGGGGGCCACGTCACGGCGCGATCGGGTCTTCTGGGGCTGTCCCGCCTGCCGCTGATGTCCCGGCTTGTCCTGCTCCTACTTCTCGGGTGGCTGCTTCGGCTGCGCCCCGACGAACCATGACTCGTTGGGGCCCCCGACTCGTAGTGACGCTACCCATCACTGGGCGACGTACTCGCACTCGACGGCCATCCTCCAGCGTACCTGATTCTCCTTTGGTAGACCGCACCGCGCCTACTACGGCAGTTCCACCTGCTGATTCGCCGATAGCTCCGCCACCATCACTGTCAGTGGTGGAGCCTACTGACCACCCAGCGGTTCCAGAGCACTGGCTACTACGTTTTGACGGGGCTTGTCGTCGGAACCCTGGTGCTGGTGGCGCTGGTGCGGTGGTAACAGACGCGTCTGGTACTGTGGTTTGGACGTGCTCCCACTTCCTGCCTGCCCGCGGTGAAACCAACAACACCGCGGAGTACTCTGCTCTATTGATAGGGCTGCAGGGGCACTGTTCCACGGTGCCAAGAGAGGCTAAAGATTGAAGGAGACAGCAACTTGGTGCTCGCCCAGGTGCGGGGCTCATTTACTTGCTCCAACCGGCGGCTCCGGCGGTTGCGAGGTCGGGTTCGCTGCGAGTTGGGCCGCCTGGATTGGTACCAGCTCAGTCACATCGACCGGCAAGCTAACGCTCACGCTGACAGACTGGCTAACCGTGCCCTTGACCTCCGCCGTACCGCGTTGGAGTGTGGGCCCCACTCTGATGACCTCTCCGCTTGTTTCACGCCTGTTTCCTCTCCGCCTTCCAGCCCATCCCCCGGCTGGGCCAGTCACAGATGGTCCTCCTGATGCGGATACTGATGGCTCTGTGGATGACGAGGCCATGGACGTAGAAGCCGAGATCGCTGCTCGCGATGGGGGTGAAGTTTTCCCGACTATTCTCATTGGTCCGGGTTCTACTCCAGCGCGACAACCTCGGCTCCGTCTCCGTCACTTGAGCGAGGAGGAGCAGGATATTGCTGCTGCTGCGGTACAGCACTTTGCGGATGTCATGGCGAGCAAGATTACGGATGCGGACAGTTGGATATCTGGTGAGGGATACATCTCGGCCATCCCAGACCGGCTTCGCGAAGTGCTGCTGCCATTCTCGGTGTCACCAATGGGTACTTCAAGCTCGAGAGACAACTGTCCTCGCCAACGCCCACCTCGCGTGACGCGTACGCAGCGCGAACATCGGTTGGATGAGGCCCTTGATGACATGCAAGCGACGCAACAGGCGGTACCGAGTGACCGTCGCGCGGTCCGGAAGTCTCGCCGCCGCGTGGGTAGAATACGAGCGTCTATGGCTCAACTCGAGTTGCGTCGCCGCTTTGCGCAAGACGAAGCCAAGTGTGTTTCCTCTATCCTCGATGGTGCCTCTGCCGAATCTGCGGGTGTCGAGCACCCCGATACATGTCCTATTGGACGGGAGGAGCTTCACCAGCACTTCGTCGGCACGAGTTCCGCTCCTACCGCTTTTGATTACGATGCTGACTGCGGACAGGAATTCCGGGATGTTCTGAATGGGTTCCCACGGACGCTTCTGGGTGATGATTGCTTTTCCGAGGCTTTTTCGATGGACGAAGTGGAGGACCAGCTGTTGAGGGTAACTAAAACGTCCAGCCCCGGGCACGATGGGGTTGGCTATGATGTTTACAGCCAGTTTGCCCCGCAGTTGGTACCCCTTCTGCATACCGCTTACCGATTCTGCTGGCTACATCGGATGATACCTCGACTCTGGAAGGTGGGCATGGTCCGCTTGGTTCACAAGAAAGGCGACCCGCTGCAACCTACGAACTGGAGGCCAATTTGCTTACAGCCCGCTATATACAAACTCTACAGCGGGTTGCTGGCCAGGCGGCTGTCGTGCTGGTTGGAACTTAACCACCGGTTGCCCATGGCGCAAAAAGGGGTTTCGAGAGTTTAACGGATGCCATGAGCACAATTTCCTGGCTACTACGATGCTCGATCAGACCCGCCGCTCGCGCCGCAAGCTCTACCAAGTCTGGTATGACCTCCGAAACGCCTTCGGTTCGCTTCCGCAGCCCCTCATGTGGCAGGTGCTCCGCCGGATTGGTGTTGAGCCCCGGTTCATTAACCGATGCCAAGATATCTATGAGGGGTCTGCTTTCGTGGTTATGAATGCGAAGGACGGGGCGACCGACCCGGTGCGACAGGAAGTGGGTGTCTACCAAGGCTGCCCCTTGAGCCCCCTTCTTTTATTGCTGCTCTCATCCCACTGGTCCGCCGTTTGGAACTACTGGAGGATGTCGGTGTGCCGCTGGCGGAGGGTGTCCGCCCGTGCACCACCGCTTATGCCGACGACATCAAGGTTTTCAGTGACAGTGCCGATGGAATCCGCCGCTGCCATGACGTTGTCCGGAGGTTTCTCCAGTGGACGGGGCTGCGCGCTAACCCTGCCAAGTGTGCGAGCCTTGCGGTGACCATTAATGCTCGTGGTAACCCGACACTTGACGACAGTGTTCGGCTGGGGATTCATGGCGATGTCATTTCCCGCTCACCCTTAATGAGAGCTATCGCTATTTGGGGGTGGGCGATGGTTTTGACCATGTTCAGCACCGCCTCCAGCTCGAGCCAAAGCTCCAGCAGATAAAGCGAGAGGCTGTGGCACTGATGAAGTCTGGCTTAGCGGTGTGGCAAGTGGTGAAAGCGCTTAAGACTTACGTATATCCGAAGGTGGACTACGCGCTTCGCCACTTGCGCCCGCTTCGCTCTCAGCTCGAAGGATTCGACTGTGCCGTGAAGCGTGGACTGCGACATATGCTGCGCCTGCCCCAGTCTTCGACCACTGAGTTCTTCTACGCGCCCACTTCTGGTGGTGGACTGGGCCTGCAGTCTCTAGTGGAGATGCACCAATCTCTGCAGGTGGCGCACGCATGGCAGATGTTGCACTCCAAGGATCCAGCTCTAGTGGCGGTGGCGAAGGCTCAGGTCCTACAGGTCGTGCACAAACGATACCGCCTATTGAACGACCACTGGACGGGTCGAGACGACGAACTCGTACGTTTGTTTTTGAACTCCGAGCTCGCGTCGTCTCCCCACGCCACCATCCATCGCAGATCGGGGGACATCGCTTCGGTTTGGGTGGATGTGCAGCGGGTGCTGTGCATCCACCGTATTACCTTTACTGATCGCGCCGACGAGTCTGGTCAGGACGCGTTTGCGATTCGCGTGCCGCACCACACCCAATGGCTTGACCACAAGTCTGTCTTGCGGCACGTGAAGTTGCACATGAAAATTCGACACCAGACTCGGTGGAAGGGTCTGGTGGACCAAGGCCGGACGGCTCGGGTGTACGGTGGACCCGGGTCTAAGTTTGTGCTATCGGGAGCGGGCCTGTCTGATGCTGAACATCGGTTCGGCATACAGGCTCGTCTAAACCAAGTGGACACGAACTCGGTTCTGAAGCGACGCCGTATGCGGCCAAATGCTCATTGTCGACAGTCGGCCTGCTCGAGTGCGGAAACACTGGCGCACGTTTTGAATCACTGTGCATCCAATATGGATTTAATCCGCCAGCGTCATGACACTGCACTCGAGCGAATTGGTGTGGAGATCAGGAAAGCGCTTCAACGGACCAAGTCGCAAGCAGAGTTACGACTCAATCAGACGGTTCCTGAGTACACCGGTGCGGCTCTGCGTCCGGATATGGTGCTGAGGGACGTAAATGCCAAGACCATGGTGATCGCTGACTTGGCAGTCACCTTCGAGACCCATGGTGCTGGATCTCGCCTTTCCTCGCTGCAGTCCAGCTATGACTTCAAGATGCTCAAGTACAAGCCTATCGCCGATGAACTCCGGCTGAAGGGGTGGAGAGTGGAGTCCGCTGCGATTGTCTATGGATCTCTAGGCTCGGTGCTCCCGCGTAACCTCAAGACATACACGGACACGCTCCACCTGCTCAAGCGCGATGCTAGGACTCTGGAATTTCGCCTTTCCAGTCATTGTGTCCGCTCCAGTCGCCGGATCTGGAGCTGGCACTGCCAACTACACAGGGATCGACAACGGAGAGGGGCGGCTACAAGAGAGTCGCGCAGGTCCGGGGGGAACCTGCAGGCTCCTCAGCCGCCAGAGGCGCGGTGATAAGCTGGTCTTTATGACCGACAGGGCACTATCCAGGTAGGACACCGCCCTTTAAACCCAGGTACTATCTTAGGCCCTCCGACTCGTGACATACATACAACACAATCCTTTTGTCCTGGAGCGGTAAATAACTGGTAATACACATAAACCTTCTTTTCTATTTGACTTTCCTAGTAGACAACCTCCTTACCTTTGATGATCGTATTCGACTTCATGCATTGACTCGGGATGTCGGTGGTAGTGCTGTGCTCTCTTTGAGACTGGCCTCCTCCGTTGATGAACGTCCGCTGTCGTTATTCCAAGACAGCGTGAGGTGTGAAGTGATATGAGAAGTTGTGGAGCTCCCCTTATGCTACGTTTGGTCTCTGCTTAATATTTCGTCCCACATTAATCGAACTCGCTCATGATTGAATCCCTGTACTGGATTCGATCCCCACACTCAATTCGATCCCCATACTCGATTCGATCTCTGTACTCGATTTGATCTCTGTACTTAATTTGACCCATAAAATCAATTTGATCCATTCATATACTTTTGTTGACCCCTGTACATGCTCGGTTCCCATACGATAGCTGAGCACTAGCCTTGTCCATGATGTACCGAACAGAACAGTGCGGCACTACATTAACATACCAATACGACACACGATGGCACGCCTCTATTCCTTTTCGATCGAACGTTTCAAAACGACATCATATCCCTGTATACGGACCTTCTTTGCAGCAAGAAACAGTTCACGACGACACGATCATGTATATTCATACACAATTACAGGCGGAAGTTGATGTTCACAGAGCATAATCATCCCATATATACCTGTAATCGATATCGGAGGAATAGCGAAAGTTGAGCTGCTACATCATTTTTCAGAGAAACAAACGACACGAAGGCGTAAGATTCCCGAGAATACGGAATGGTGATGAAAGAAGCAGAACAGCATTTCTAGTTCGTGTGTAACGCATATTTCGATTGACCTTGTACGAAGGTGGCAATGCAATTTCTGATTGAAGTCAAAAGGGCAGGTTGTAATCGGATGCAAAAGTACAGATGAAGCATCCGTCTATGCTGGGTATCGTAGAGACGGTATCGTGCGCCAAGAAGTAGGTCGAAATCATCCATACGATAAACTTCAGGAGCGTACGTTGAGGTCATTCTGTGAAATATTAGCGAAGAAATGGGGCCAAAAGGAAAGAGTATGGAACGACTCCGACAGCCATATACGCGTGCGTTTTTGCTCCAAACAAGTTTACATAGGGTTCTTGTAGCATCATCGTTGCAAGGCGGCTGACTACTTGGTATCTTGTTTCCTGCTCTTTTCATCATCTGGTGGACGTTGATACTAAAGTGATGGCAAATTCTCTATCATCGGAATGTGGGGAAGTGGTGCTGCAGCTATGGTGACGGCGGCACTGAGGAAGGCGATGAAATCTCGAGATAAACAGTGTGACCTTTTGAGGTGATTACAATGAAGCGTTGATTTGAAAGCTGATTCATTTTGCGTGGTTATCGCTAGTTGGTGTGAGCACACGTTTAGGCGAGCAAAAGTCGATTACATAACGAAAGTCTTTGATGTTGCGAATCAATACTACATTTAACAGGATGTAGATCTGAATCACGAAACGTTACTTTTCCAAAACGGGTTTCGGACTCGTATCGACTTGCTGGATGTGTTGGTGACTACAAGTCATGACAGTGGTGCTATGCTGGCATAAGCAAACACATGGAAAATGAATCTTAAGAGTTGTGAGGTTGAGCATTTGTCGCCGTTTGACCCTGTTCTGATTCAACACGAATGTGCTGATGTTGAATATGGGCTCAGTTCGGTTACCGTGCCTACAAGCGCACACAAAGCTCATCTCTGCACGCAGCATTGGTGGAGTGTCTGACGACGTTTCGGATCGTTTTTGTTCTGGCGAAAAGAAATCAGAAGTGACTACATTGGCGCCATGGTGAATGGACTCAGCAGGGTTTGTCGTACGTGAGGTTCATAGAAGAAAGTAGGCTTGACGGCGAATCCATCGAGCAAAGTAAGACCGTACTTACACAGGATCATTTCTATAGTACCTTCTTTTCTACTTGACTTTCCTAGTAGACAACCTCAATAACTTTGATGATCGTAGTCGACTTCATTCATTGACTCGGGATGTTGGTGGTAGTGCTGGGCTCTCTCTTGAACTTGGCCTTCCCCATTGATGAACGTCCGCTGTCGCTATTCCAAGGCAGCGTGAGTGAGTGGAGTGATATGAGAAGTTGTGGAGCTCCTTATGCTACGTTTGGTCTCTGCTTAATATTTCGTCCCACATTAATTGAACTCTGCTCGTAATTAAATCCCTGTACTGGATTCGATCCCCACACTCAATTCGATCCCCATACTCGATTCGATCTCTGTACTCGATTTGATCTCTGTACTTAATTTGACCCATACAATCAATTTGATCCATTCATATACTTTTGTTGACCCCTGTACATGCTCGGTTCCCATACGATAGCTGAGCACTAGCCTTATCCATGATGTACCGAACAGAACAGTGCGGCACTACATTAACATACCAATACGACACACGATGGCACGCCTCTGTTCCTTTTCGATCGAACGTTTCAAAACGACATCATATCCCTGTATACGGACCTTCTTTGCAGCAAGAAACAGTTCACGACGACACGATCATGTATATTCATACACAATTACAGGCGGAAGTTGATGTTCACAGAGCATACTCATCCCATACATACCTGTAATCGATATCGGAGGAATAGCGAAAGTTGAGCTGCTACATCATTTTTCAGAGAAACAAACGACACGAAGGCGTAAGATTCCCGAGAATACGGAATGGTGATGAAAGAAGCAGAACATCATTTCTTGTTCGTGTGTAACGCATATTTCGATTGACCTTGTACGAAGGTGGCAATGCAATTTCTGATTGAAGTCAAAAAGGGCAGGTTGTAATCGGATGCAAAAGTACAGATGAAGCATCCGTCTATGCTGGGTATCGTAGAGACGGTATCGTGCGCCAAGAAGTAGGTCAAAATCATCCATACGATAAACTTCAGGAGCGTACGTTGAGGTCATTCTGTGAAATATTAGCGAAGAAATGTGGCCAAAAGGAAAGAGTATGGAACGACTCCGACAGCCATATACGCGTGCGTTTTTGCTCCAAACAAGTTTACATAGGGTTCTTGTAGCATCATCGTTGCAAGGCGGCTGACTACTTGGTATCTTGTTTCCTGCTCTTTTCATCATCTGGTGGACGTTGATACTAAAGTGATGGCAAATTCTCTATCATCGGAATGTGGGGGAAGTGGTGCTGCAGCTATGGTGACGGCGGCACTGAGGAAGGCGATGAAATCTCGAGATAAACAGTGTGACCTTTTGAGGTGATTACAATGAAGCGTTGATTTGAAAGCTGATTCATTTTGCGTGGTTATCGCTAGTTGGTGTGAGCACACGTTTAGGCGAGCAAAAGTCGATTACATAACGAAAGTCTTTGATGTTGCGAATCAATGCTACATTTAACAGTACGTAGATCTGAATCACGAAACGTTACTTTTCCAAAACGGGTGTCGGACTCGTATCGACTTGCTGGATGTGTTGGTGACTACAAGTCATGACAGTGGTGCTATGCTGGCATAAGCAAACACATGGAAAATGAATCTTAAGAGTTGTGAGGTTGAGCATTTGTCGCCGTTTGACCCTGTTCTGATTCAACACGAATGTGCTGATGTTGAATATGGGCTCAGTTCGGTGACCGTGCCTACAAGCGCACACAAAGCTCATCTCTGCACGCAGCATTGGTGGAGTGTCTGACGACGTTTCGGATCGTTTTTGTTCTGGCGAAAAGAAATCAGAAGTGACTACATTGGCGCCATGGTGAATGGACTCAGCAGGGTTTGTCGTACGTGAGGTTCATAGAAGAAAGTAGGCTTGACGGCGAATCCATCGAGCAAAGTAAGACCGTACTTTTACAGGATCATTTCTATAGTACCTTCTTTTCTACTTGACTTTCCTAGTAGACAACCTCAATAACTTTGATGATCGTAGTCGACTTCATTCATTGACTCGGGATGTTGGTGGTAGTGCTGTGCTCTCTCTTGAACTTGGCCTTCCCCATTGATGAACGTCCGCTGTCGCTATTCCAAGGCAGCGTGAGTGAGTGGAGTGATATGAGAAGTTGTGGAGCTCCTTATACTACGTTTGGTCTCTGCTTAATATTTCGTCCCACATTAATTGAACTCTGCTCGTAATTAATCCCTATACTGGATTCGATCCCCACACTCAATTCGATCCCCATACTCGATTCGATCTCTGTACTCGATTTGATCTCTGTACTTAATTTGACCCATACAATCAATTTGATCCATTCATATACTTTTGTTGACCCCTGTACATGCTCGGTTCCCATACGATAGCTGAGCACTAGCCTTGTCCATGATGTACCGAACAGAACAGTGCGGCACTACATTAACATACCAATACGACACACGATGGCACGCCTCTGTTCCTTTTCGATCGAACGTTTCAAAACGACATCATATCCCTGTATACGGACCTTCTTTGCAGCAAGAAACAGTTCACGACGACACGATCATGTATATTCATACACAATTACAGGCGGAAGTTGATGTTCACAGAGCATAATCATCCCATACATACCTGTAATCGATATCGGAGGAATAGCGAAAGTTGAGCTGCTACATCATTTTTCAGAGAAACAAACGACACGAAGGCGTAAGATTCCCGAGAATACGGAATGGTGATGAAAGAAGCAGAACAGCATTTCTAGTTCATGTGTAACGCATATTTCGATTGACCTTGTACGAAGGAAGCAATGCAATTTCTGGTTGAAGTCAAAAAGGGCAGGTTGTAATCGGATACGAAAGTACAGATGAAGCATCCGTTTATGCTGGGTATCGTAGAGACGGTATCGTGCGCCAAGAAGTAGGTCGAAATCATCCATACGATAAAATTCAGGAGCGTACGTTGAGGTCATTCTGTGAAATA